ACATTGATATGTATAGCATATGTTCGTCAGAGCGTTAGAAATCAAATTGCATTTCCCTAGGGCGGGAAAACTCTATTTTCGGTCCACTTTATAGGCGCCGAAAATGGTTTTTTTGAGCCACGTGTTATGAAAAATAATGTTTTAGCGTCTCGCTCGGCCTTGCGGACAGTGGGAAAGGTCCTTAATAAGTCTACATCGTACGCTCGTACGTGCCTAAACTTTTATCTGCCTTCTCACACGCATGCGTACGCACTGCAACTGCATTCGTAATTGCGCGTGTCTTCCCGCGCGTGAACTAAGCGGAAAGATCACCAAGAAATGATAAAGATTACACTCATCTAATAGAAAAAGCACGAGGAAAATTAAATGCAAATCGTAAATAAAAACGTGTCTGTTAATAATTAGTAAAAGCTATAATAAATAAACATTTTTATTTGTATTAAAATACATAGAACAAATCTGACGATAAATACTTTGAAATATGATTTGTTTTAATTTATTTGCTTTTGTAATAAGCATATAGTTGTAGCAAGAGTTAAAAATTTTATCATGTACTAGTGCAAAGACGTGTATTGTATTTCTGCTATACATTTATTATCAGTTAAAATGCACTTTGATACATTACAGTAATTACTACGATTTTAAGATGCCATTTATTAATATTCTAAATAATTTTTATTATCTGATCTCACACAGGTGCGTGATTTTATATCCTCCCCGTTAGAGTTCAACACACCTGCACTTACAAGGTTTCAAAGAAGCCTTCACAAATCTTTCGAGTGTCAGTTCACATATAACCACGCGATTCAACAGGGTCGCTCTACAGTCCCCAAGTCTCCGTCTTACATACACGTATGTTATCGAAAAAGAAGCATCGAAATCCATCAGAACTATTGCAAAAATGGTGCTAGTGAGAGGTAGGAATTACTTCGCATTTATTATATATTTCATGTAATCTTTTTCTTACGTAATTAAATAGAAAATTAGAAAGATCTATACAAAATGTAATCTCTGAATTTCTCGTTCAAATTCACTATTGTTCATATATTTCTATTACAAATTTTTTAAATGCATACACATATAAGAATTTATAAACCTATAACGTTTGAAATCAACAGACTCCTTCGCTGACCAGATTATGTATAACATTGTAATTATGTTTGTAGAGTATGACCATGGTTACTTAGTTTACATGGTTAACTGTATTGTACTATAGTATAAAATATAATTTATTGTAACATACCACTCTTTTCAACAAAAATTAATTATTAAAGAAGTGATAAATAAAAAAGTGATTAGTAAACAAATAAATACTGGACATGTTTTGTACAAAGATACACGTTGAACACATATCTAAGAAATAATTTATGAATAAATATTCCACTACTAGTGAAAAAAAATTTCTAAATATGCTATATACGTTTATTAATAATAAATGATAAATTATTTTTATTCTGTGATCGATTAAAGTATAAAAACTTCATTTTTAAATCTTCCAGCTACATTTATATTGTGCTTTGCTACAAAGTCTCTGGGTTACTGGTTTGAAGATGTTACTGAAGTAAATTCGCTTTCCGATACTAGCAATTGTTCTACCACGGATAATTTTAACACTTTTGATGCGACCAGTGAAGCGTCAGATGAAAACGCAATGATAGCTGACGTTCTCGTCGAAGCAACCAGAAATAATACAAATATATCACATTTAAAGACGTCTATAATAACTGCAGATTGGAACGAATGGTTTCCGAAACTTAAATTTCCAAACACTAATTTGGATAAACAATATAAAATGGCGAATTTACATTTGGATAGAGGAATATTCATTTTCGACTTTCTACGAGAATTTTTATCTCTTATTCAGCCCTACGATGTACCC